CCATCGAGGAGGTTTAATCTGCTGGGTGTTACGAAAATCATCCGTGGCAGGGATGGAGGAAGAGATAAGTGGTGAGTTGGTGAGATTCACAGGATTACATACCTAGGGACATCTGCTGGGCTGCCTTGCAGCTATTGCTGCTGCCCTACGAGAGCTTTGTGCAAGCCACCAAAGAATGGCTTTTACACCCTCATCTGGGCTCTTCTTCTTCCTTCAACCCAGTCCTCCTCCTCTCCCTGTACCAGTCAGCCTGCTCCCACTGTAGGCTACAGGTACCTTTCAAGCCAATGAAAGACAATGTTATGAACATAATCAAAAATCTGGTTCAGAGGCTGCAAACATGCTGAACAGTCCTCAGTCATCTCCAGTGTTAGAGAGTGCTAGGGCAGCTCTGCAGTTAATTACTGCATAAAATATAAACCCACATTATCAGGACCATGTTGATGCAATTGCACAGAAGAGGGCATAAGCAATAATAAGGAGTGAGAGAGAAGGTAAGCATCTGAATGACCATTTTGTTCGATGGCCTTCATTACAATAATTATCTGGACAAATGAGATACATCCTTTTGAGGGTTCAGTTCTAAAATTAATCTCATTTTTTTGTTGCAGAGCAGACATATATTTACACAATTATCCTGCTTACATCACTGTGGACTTCCCTTGAACTGTGCATTGCCTCAAGCTGAGACACTACAGTAGGCACTTGCTATACTTCCCTGATATCTGTGCTTCTTCATTAAAAGATAAGAAGCAGAAATGTAGATTAAGCAATCTAAAAGCAACTTTCTTCATTCTAGAAAGTAACTCACATCACACACTGACCCCCTAAAGCTGTACTCTTTATCAAGCAAGATGACCATGCAGCCATATCCTGCCCACCTTGGGTAGAACATACAAATAAAGAAATTGAGAGTGGGAGAGAGGAAGATGGAATGATACATCTGGCTGCAGAAATATTCTTTCTGCTGGAAAACAAGTACAGTCATAGGAAAGGAAAATCCAGTTTATCTCTGCAAATCCAGTTCATATAGGATGGTAAAATCCACATCTCTGAGACCACACAGCGGAAGTGAAGGCTCACTTCTGTGCTGCCTTCTATGAATTGAAACTGAGCCTTTCAGTCATCTTAAAGCTTTTGTTAGAAGACACAGTTCAGCATCCTGGAGTGTATGTTCCTTCCAGAATTTTGCATGGTGACTGAGAAAATAATCACAGCCAAGGCCTCAGAAGTCTATTACAAGGTGTATTTTATGTCAGTTATTTGCATACAGTAGATAATGTGCAGTAGACTACAGCATCCAAAATATTTAGAGCAAAAAATACTGAAATGTACCTCAGATGACCGCATGTGGATAACAAGCCTCATTAACAGCAAGCACAGGTATCGATGTAGGCTTCAAGGAAGTCAATAGTGCCCTCTAAAGGGAACTCGTGATACACAGGAGTGCTTGACAGTTGTAGTACCCATGCCCGTACAGCCACGGAATAACCCAGGAACTTTTTCTGAGCAATAATTTAAATAATTAATAAGCCGACAAAATATAGAGTCATTAATATCCCTTCTGAATTTGGGAAAGACAGCCTGGGCGAAGTTCAGCTTTTTTCAAGCATTTATTGTCTAGGGTAAGAAGGCATCCTTGTCCCAAACCATGCTGCAAGCAAGACCTCAGATCATGGCTCAGAAAAGAAAGGTACATCGAATTAGCAGGACAGACTGCACAAGTGAAAGTGGGTCACGACCTATTTCATGAAACTTTAATCTCATCTAAACAATTCTTGCCCAGAGAGGTTGTGGAGTCTCCCTCACTGCAGATATTCAAGAACCATTGGATGCAATCCTGTAACATGTGCTCTAGGATGACCCTGCTTGAGCAGGGAGGTTGGATCAGATGATCCACTGTGGTCCCTTCCAACTTTACCCATTCTGAGAGTCTGTGATAACACAACACAGAGCAGGTTATAAGAGCTACTCAGGAATGAAGTGCGTGAATGAACAAGCACCACAGAGCAACCAAATCTCTGTAAGCAGAGCTTTGTCTTGGCCTTTGCCATCAGGAGCCTGCAATTACTCTGCAATTCACTTATAAATTTCAACATTTTCTCTCTCAAGAAATATGAAGTACCTTGAACAGCAACACATACTTTGTTTCAATTTTCCAGTTGAGCTCTGGCTGACTGAACCAGCCAAAGAACATCATTTGGCCAGATCAGCAAAAGAGCTATTGATCTCCAATGTACCAATGCAGATCTTATACATGGGTATACATTATTTCAGGACAAGAATCTGCTTCCCAGGAAGAAGCTTCCCTCTTGCATTGAATTCAAGAGGCACTGCAATGCTTTGCTGTTCAGAAAGTCAGGACAATTATTACCAGGTTTAGTGATTGCCACTCATTAAAATCAGGATTTACTTGATTACATTTTAGAGGAACTCTAGACCTCAGAATGTAATTTATAACTGAGAAGACAAAAATATTAATATAGCTTAAAATTAAATATTTCTGTTGAATCTTGTAAATGTTGCTTACGCTTTAACCATGCTTTCTTCCCCTCTGGACTGCAGGAATGTATCATGAGGATGCAAAGTTACATCCTTTGCTTACTAAAGTTACATTCATGTGCAGCATATGTGGTGTATCCACTAGAAGTAAACAAAAAATCAGAGAGACATGATTTTTAGAAGACATTAGAATAATCTTGGGAACATTTCCATCCTAGATCTATGCTTTTCATCAATAAAACAAATTGCACACCACTCATTCCAGAACTGCAGTTTGACTGAATGCCTTTTTCATTACAATTTTTGAGACTTGGATAGAGGATGCCCATACACACATGAAATTGGGAGCAGAGCCTAATAACGTGTGAGAATGTGGAAATTCCTAGTCTAACTTCCACCACCAGCCAGTATGATTTGGAGAAGGCCATTTGTACCTCTCATTTCCTCAGAGTTTCCACATGGTTGTCGTGAGGCCAATAGGTTTAGAGAGCATGTTGAGACAGAAATGCCTCTGAAACCCAAGTGCTGTTGTTGTGCCTGTACATGATGGGTTATGAGACAAGGAAAACCATGTACCAGTGAAACAAATGCTTGCTTGTTAAATAAGGATCATTCCCCAGGACTTAGGTGCTTGGTTTGCACAGGCAGTTTAAGACTTGGTTTTGTGCTTGTTTCAACTGAGAATTCAAAGCCAGAGTTAGCTTTGCAGCAAGAGGAAGGTCAGGTATGGGAGTTTAGTTGTGCCCTTTGCCAACCCAAACACGATTTCCTCATGCTGAGTACTAGTAATTAACTGATCTCTAGTGAATTACAGCACCTGTGTTATCCATCCTCGCTACCATGAGAATGATTAAGCAGCAAACTGTGAAGCTAACAGCTTGTTAGAGGCTCTGCAGAACACAGCCTGAGTCCCACGACTCCCAATATATCACAGCGTAGAGAACAGTAATGGAAACAAGAAGACTGTACAAAGGGAAAATGACTGGAAAGGTCTGGAATATGGGAGCAGCAGGAGGATTGGCAGAAGGGCTGTCAGAGGCACTCAGATTAGCCGGTCATCAAGATCTTTGCAGAGTAACGTGCAGCTTTTTAGGTTACTTGGAATAGAAGGGGTGGCCTATACCCAGACTAAAACAGATAAGTCATTGAGGGGAGATGTTGGGAAGAACAGGCTGGAGCTCTTGGCAGTTTGGAGAAGGTGAGAAAGGACAGTGAGGGAATCCTAACGACTTGCACAGGTGGGTTAAGATGGATACAAATCCACGAGGCAGTTCCTAAAGGACACAGATGGCACTTCCAATCCCTGGTCAAAAGAGAGACTGGAAGATTGAAGAGAACTCATGAGTAGGCTCTTGGCTGCTGTGAGGACCCCTGTCCAGGTCAACTGGGTACACACACCTTTGTGCCTGGTTACTGGACAGACTGCTCAGTGCTCATGTGTGGGGTGTGAGCACAAGTGAAAGCAGTTCCAAAATAAGGGCACTTCCCTTTCCGAGGAGGTCTCCCCTACTCTCTTGCAACATTACTTCCACCTACAGGTGAGAAGAAAAACAGCACAACACAGCTGATAGGGAGCTCCAGACTGAGGAATGAAATCAAGGGAGAGGAGATAAAGGGAACTTAGCGAGAAGATAACTGGGGATGAAAAGCAGAAGTCTGTTCAGACAGAACAAAGGTGTTCTGATGGTTCATCAGAACGAAAGACATGGAAGCAGCAAGAGGAGTCTATGAAAATTTGAGGGAAAGTGCAGAAAGAGGGTTGCAGGACAAAGGAGGATTCACAGAAACGATGGTAAGATGTCCTGAAGGCAAAGTTTGAACAAAATGTTTCAGAAAACAGGAAGATGGAGGAAAAAAAAGGGTATTGGAAAGATAAGCATGCAGGAAGCAGCTATTGTGGAGGGAGCTGAGTCAGAATTTGCATCCTGAATACAATGTTGTCTTATTCAAGGACAGATGGGCACACAGGAGGTAACTTCATGCAAGTAGAATGAAGGGGCTTTGTGCGAAGGATTTCCACTGGAAGGGAGCATTAATACCAGTGGAATGTGGCAAGGATGACAGAATCACAGAATAGCTTTGGCTGGGACCTTGGTGGGTCATCTGGTCCAACCGCCTGCTCAGAGTGGGAAAGAAAATAATACATAGGAGACGAAAATTCCCTTACATCTTCACAGATATAAAGTTAAGCCTTAGCTATAATGCCAGAAATACAAATCCAATGTCAAACCTTCTCTATAGCTGATGTTCCCCTGTGGAAGCAATGTTCACTTTACAGATTACTGGAATTTCTACTACACCTTTGGATTCTTTGCTATGAAGCACAGAGGGTTTTATTGCATATCAAAAGGCGGCAAAGAACACACATGACAATCAACCTGTAGCTTGGTCTAAACACATATGCACATATGATGCACAGCTGACACTAGCACAAAACAAGGATAGGAAAAAATATTTCTCATGCAAACTGGGTTGGTGGTTAATCAAGTGAATCGTACCTTTTAGAGAGGTATCCTAGCAACCCCCCAGCAGTCACAAGTCCTGGCTGACGGTGCACACTGATGCAATTGTTCTCCTCCTGCAGACATCAAAACTTTGTAGCTAATCAAAGAGATAATTTGAAACAGGAGAGCACGTTAAATTTGATCCAACAAAAGGGAATTTTATAAATGAGCAATGTCACCTGGGGCATCTCTTATGCTTAAAGTTGTCATCTTGGAACAAGAGTAGGTCAGGTTTAGCAAAGCCGTGCAACGTTGGGAACAAAACCTCCCTTCCTGCAACTGGCAGCAGGATTCTCCTGAAGGCACTCGCTTCTGCTGCATTGATTTTTGCAGGTTGGTGCTTCAGAGCACCATGCAGAATTTATTACTATTTTCTTGAATAGCAAAGGCTTACCTGAAGCACCTTCTAGAGCACAAGTATCAGCAAAAGCCCTGCTGATGCTCTCATAGCCACATGTCCCACTATGTTTCCATGATCAAATTCATACTCCTAACATGCCGGATTAGATATTCTTTCACATTTCCTGACACTGTGTATAAACTCAGGGCTGGCTGGATTAGACCTTCTGTCTCAGGACCAGCAATGAACCTGAGGCTACCAAGTAGCCTAAGCTCATCCTCTGCAAGTGTCCTCATTTCAGAAGCATTATAGATTTGCATTTTACCCCTTTAGGCATGGATGCAAAAGGCGAAGCAAAATCACAGACATAGGATTTACCAGCGTTCTGAAAAATTACCTTTTTTTTTTTTTCAGTCCTTAGCTAAGCCCAAAGATACCACAGAGCTGAGAAAAAAATTCAATATGTTTAAGCATTTCCTAGTTCAGTTTTCTTACCACCATAGTGTTCTTCAGGCTTCAGTTCAGAGTTGTGATGGGCATCCCAAGTTCCACTCTGATGGTTTACATTTCTTCTGGACCACAGAAGATTTACTACACTCCCCCCATGCTCTACAGTTCACCTCCTCTCTCAAAAAGAGAAATCTTTATTCTTAAAACTTCCTGTTTTCTCTGTCAGATGAGCTCTGAACTTGTCTACTCTCATCAGATGCTCCACAGATACTTTTCTTTGATGACCACCCTCCTGGGGATCAGAACCAGATGACCAATTTTCCTGGGGCAGTAATAATCTCCCTGAATATCCCACTAAAACTGTTAATCAAACTTTAATGATCCTTTCCTGTTGGAATGGAGGAATTTCTCATCTTTGGTGGTTCAGAAGAAAAGCAAAACACAACAGAAGTAACAGCCATACATTTAAACATCAAACAGAACCCACAACTGGATATACACATCAAATCATACACAAATCATCAAAGCTTTTGTGACCTACTTTTTATTGCACAAGTTGAATTTTTTTTTTGTGGTCAATCAAGTGCTATTAAACACTGCCACCACTAAAAAAAAGATGAAGATTACCCAGCTGCAGTACCCAAGACCAGGGGTCCAGAGGACTATCAGTGTGCCCAGCTCTAAGGTCTATAGACCCTTTTAAGACCTTGCAAAATTTTCTTCAGTGAGTAGAAAACTACTACTCAATAGCAGAGACGCTGCTTACAGATGCTAGAAGAATCAAAAGGTTTCCTCCCACTATCAGAAGATTACCTCTCAAAGTGCTGCCTTTATACATTTTAATTATAATGGTATCTGTATACCAGTAACTCTAAAAGTAGAAAGTGCCACAGAAGAAGAGAATAAATAAGCTGTAGAGGTGGACAGCAATGAGGGGAAAAGGAAAATTATACCTGTGATACTGTTCCCAGCAGATCGATTTCTTTTCACCTTCCTAAAGCAGATACATCTTTTATTATTTGTGCAAGTCACCGCAGTATTTGCTTCAGGAAGTGTCTGGTAACAGGATGTGAAAATTTGTGAACTCAAGAAGGGGCTGATAACATAAAACAGCTTAGAAACTACACATTTGTAATTGAAGCAGCAGGGAACATCAGTTCTGCATGATAGTAGAATTTGCCAGATGTTAATGAGTTGACGTGCAAAGAAACAAAAACCAACCCATCCCTTGATACACACGATCCTTAATAACTGCAGCAGCTACATCATTGTTTTATGCCTTAGAATCCTCAGCCACAGGAAAGAAAAATAAACAGGAGCAAGGTGCCTTCTTCTAGAAGGGCAGCAGTCACCCACAAGTAGGACAAGGAGTTAAGACAAATAACCAGCCACTCACAAACACCCACAGTGTCTACTCACAGACTTTTCCTACCTCTTATGCCACAGTATTCCCCCCAAAGAAGTCACTGCAGTAGAGTAATACAGATAGTTACATTCACTGTTGCCAGTCAGAACTGTCCTGATATTCTGACCATCTGCAAGCAAAATGAACCTGATAAAATCTGTAATATGACAATGAATATAATTGGGACTGTAAGCAAGCAGGTGAACATGAGCTGCTCTTCACTACCGAGAAGTCAGAACAGTCCCAGACACTGGGTCTGGATCTGTGACTAATTTTCTTTCTGAATGGGGGAGCAAACAAAGTGACTGAATGATGCAGACACCAGCCTTTCTTTTCAGAAAAATCATTGTGTTCAGAGAAATCTTGACTCAGAGCATCTTGAAATTATGAGATTTCTTCTCTGTATTTTAGTACGTTTTGAATCAGGCTCATAGGGATCAGAGAGGCATTTCAAAATATGTTATTCTAGTAAGGAATGACCTTCAGCTTATTTTCTTGAATGTTTCTGCTAAATCCTTCATTACCTACCTTTTTCATTTGTGTACACAGCACCAACCAGTAAATAACATCACTAGCAATGTTGCTACCAGCTCCTTCCCCAATATCAATAAACAATATAAAAAGTCAGAACTTTGTACTAAAGAGAATCTACACACAAAAAATTTACTCAACTCATTTAATAAAACCATTTTGTTAAAAAATTACTTAGTAATGATTGGAATTTTACATATAAAATTCAGAAATTACAAAAAATGGCATTGTATAACAAATATAATCTGTATAAATGAGAAGACTTAGACACATTTGGTAGTAAGGTCCACAGAAAACCTACACAAAAGAGAAATTGGCTGTTCCTGAGTTAATTGTGCTTCTGTTGATGTTATGAGATAACATGACAGCAGCGTAAAATAATCTCTTTCTAAGAGAATTTGTGCTAGGAATGTCTCTTCTATCCATTTCATGACTGATATTACACATGCCTTCTCCTAGCACAGTTAAGTGGCTCTCCAAATGTGTGAGAAAGAAAATATCTGAGGCCTAAAAGAAGTACTCCAACTGAAAAGCAGTGTATTGTGAGCAGCCTTCAGGTAAAAAAAAAAAACAAACAAGCACTGCACCTCTCCTCTATACATATACCCATTTATGCAAATTATTCCTTCATAAGGCTTTACAATATATCTGACATCTTTCAAATCTGTATCTAATAAATATTACATGAAAATAGTTTTTCAGTATTTACATATGAAACATATAAAAATATGATCACTGTAAGATTACTTCTTCGATTTCATCTTCTAAAGAACCAAGGGTCTTAACTCCTGGCTTGCTTGTAGTGTATTGCAAACGGTGTCTGTTTAGGTTTCTTCCTTCACCAAAAAGCTCATTGTCTTCTTTTACTTTGAGTTTACTGTTTTTATCAACAAAAGGAGTATTACTAGAATCCCAATCTACATCAAAAGGTGGTGTATTGTTATTTTTAGAGATAAAAATGGTACTGGCACTGCTTCCAAAGAGTTGTTCCATTAAATTGGACTTCTTTTCTTTCTTACTATCGAAATCTGCGTTTTCCTTAACATTTTCTTCTAATTTGTCAGGCTTTTGAGTAAGCCAACTTGGTCTCCCTGATCCTTTCCCAAAGGAAGGTACATAACTACCAAATGTTAACTCACAACTTAAATCTACAGTCCTTACATTTTGTTGCTTCTGCCCTTGTGCTCTTGTGGCATCGTCCTGGCTGTCCTTTACAGGAAATCCATTACTAACCTTCCCTGGAACCTCAAAGAATGGATTAGTTTTTTCCTTTTTCTCCAGGGAATCAGATTTTCTTGCTGTATTTGTGAGTGGTGCTTGGGAAGTTGGTTTCATGTTTGCTGTACTTTGAATTTCTCTATCAATTTCTTGCATTTTAGCAAGCAGGAACTCTCTTTTTCGCCGCTCTTCCAACATTTCAGGGCTTTCACTCTCTACTTCAGGTTTGCGGATTTCTGCCTCCATCTTTATTTTCTCTTCTTTATCCAATAAAAAGTTGCTTTCTTTTTTCATTTTGTCATATTCTTTCCTTTCCCACTCTGTGAAAAATGTTTAAGCAATATTTAAAATGTTTTAATTTTAATGTGCCCTTAAAAGATTTTGAAAATAATGCAAGCAAAAGCCACTGATTTTTTAACATGCTCTTCTATGCACAATGTGGTTTTCCTAGTGCAAAAATAAATTCTTCAAAAATTACAACTAAATCCACTCCTGGTTCTCTGCTAAGCTATAAAAGTCTATTGTCATCTTCCAAAAGCATCCAGACATTATCCATGTTTTAGAATTTTCAGAGCAATTTAATTTCTGCCAATTGCCTTCCCACTTCCTGGGTTTGAATGAAAATTAATACAACATCACTGATTTTAATAGTTTTGACTTGCACAGTAGTTTAGTTTTGTCATCATCACTGACATTAGGCTAGTCCTGGGATACATGTTTGGGGTTTTTTTCCCATAAAGGTAACTAGTCCTGTGAAGCTGTCAGATCTCAAAGTCATAGGAGTCATTACCTATTTCAAGTAGTGAATGATTTAAAATATACTGCATCCACTGCATACAGAAAACATCTTTACACAGGTGTCTGTGCGTCACTGTGTGGACTCAATGAGAGTGACTGCACATAGCTATGAAGGGACACCAAAGGTACAAAACAGTAACAAACTTATAACCAGAACCTGTAAATGCTTACGTGTAGAAAAAAGAGGAAGCTTCTCAAATATTTCTCTCTTCAAAATATTTTTCTGTTGAGACAACAGACATGTATTTGGCCAAAAGTTGAATATGACTACTTGGTCCCTGCAACATACTGGCATTCTCCTTTCAACACTTTACTTAAATTTCTGACTTCTGTTTTCATGGAGTTCCATGTTATCTACTGTAATTCAGCTCAAGTTTTCAGAAATAACTGCAACAGTTCAGTTAAAATATTTAATAGATATTTTTTCAGTAGTATATCATTCTATCAAATTAAGTAAGGAGCTACCTTTCTGTCTGTAAGGTGGGGAAAATACCAGCTTATATCGTACAATGGGTAAGGTGGTTAAATCATCTTATTCAGAGACATAATAGAGCAGATTCTTGGTTTATGTAAGTTGTGTTAGAAGATTTTCAGACTTTACCTCTGAAAAAAGCTACAGATTTTTAGAATTCTTGTCATATACAATAAGTGCTACTGTTCATTAACTATAATCACTGAAAGAGTTCTTTAACATGACAGCGTGAAGTCCATCTAAAATACTTGAGACTGACTTATGAATAAAAGTCATTAAGATGCTGTGAAAATCAAGTGAATAAAAAAGCAGTATTAAAATATAGAAACTGACATTCCTCAAATAGCCACACCAAATGATTCAGATAACCAAAACTGAAAAGAGAAACTACAATTTCAAATTATATAAGTGAAGTAGATATGTACTGAAAAAATAGGCTATATTAAAGAAAGCAGATTTGCTCTACAAAAGTAAAAATCTACTGCCTACCTCAATAACATTTAGCAAGTCAGAGCTAACATCAGCATTTATCTCATTCTTGTTTTGTAAAGCAAAATCTCTTAAGACTGCAATACTTTTTTGTGGACAGCATTTTTTGCTGTTGCATACTTAATCACAGGACACAGATTATTCTATATCCTATATTTCTTTCTGATTCTTCTTTGCATAATATAACTGAAAATAATTTTCCACTGTAGTGATCGCTGCAAAATCATTTTGCTCTTCTCACCAGAAACCAGCAGCCTCATTTGATTAGTATTCTATGGTGCATCTTTCAGCCTTCAGCTGCCTCTTTCCTTACCGTCATGAAGTTTTGAAACTCTCTCCTCTAAAGCCTGCATTTCCTGAAAATATTTCAGTTTCTCTTCCCTTTCCCTTTTTTGGTCCTGTCTTAGGAGGTCTGTTTGCTCTTTCCACCCTTTGTCTCGAGTTTCTTTTTCCTGAAACACATTAATACAAAACCAAAACTGATGGGGAAAAATAGTCAATAAAACAATCATAAGAACTTCTATGTCATTCTGAAATCACATTCTTACTGCTACACATAGAAAAAGTAAGTTACCCTAAACCAAATCAGATTTGACAACCCAGGGGTTTGGCCCCAAAATATCATCACTTCTAGCATTGTTTTCTACACCTGAAACAAAATGAATAGACAGTCAACTCTATTCTGTATTACACATTTCAGGGAAGCTGCAGCTCCAATGCCATAAAGGAAAATTATCACTGTCAGGGTAGTTTTCTTTAGAAGTCAGAAGTTGTCTTCTTTAAGGACTTTAACAGAAGGCCAAACCTCTCCACTTTATTCTCTCAACAAGCAAGCAATTAGTAACCCTCTACTTCCACAATCTGATCTTTTTACTCAAGCAAGTGGGTCGTAGATTCAGGCAGTTTCTTAAATTTTTGAAGTATTAAGTAACAAACAGTGAAGGAGAAAGATTTATTCTTGCATGACAAATTCAGCTAGTGAGTATACATACACATTTAAAAGGAAGGAACCTGCAGAAAAGATAGTGATTTTCACTGCGATACTAATAATACAGAAAAGTAGTGGCAATGAACTGAAGAAAAAGTCAGTGTAGTCCAACATGTGGGAGCTAACTTTGTAGGTTGTGCTCATTTTAGAGCAAAATAAGATTCTAGATTAAAAATACACTTCTAAGTGAAATAGTTACTACTTAATGAACAAAGAAAATATGACTATTAGTCAAAAAACCTTGAAAGTATTTTCCCTTCATGTACAAGATTATCATTGTTATATTAAAAAGTATAAACTACATAAGGAGATGGTAGCCAGGTATTTAAAATGCTTCACTTTAAAAACTCACTACCCAAATCTAATTTGCATTATTTAAAGCAAATTAGTTGGATTTCAGAAGTCCCACTGCACTTGTACCAACTGTATGGTTTTGTAACTCACACACTCAAGTATATATTGGAATAATATATACATTGAACTACATTCATAGTTACAGAAAGGATTTTGGACGAGAGAATATACAAAGAAAACAGCCATGAAAAAGTTTCAGCCCTAACTGGAAGCCAGTCAAGACCATCCTCAGAGCATTACTTCTGAAAAATAGTCCTAGCCTTATTTGTACAATTTGTACCAGAATCTGGCTCATTCTGATCTTCAAGACTTTACAAATCTCTTTGATTTTAGCCTGGGGTCACAAAAGTATTAGGAATACTTCTAATAGTACTATTTTTATAATAAAAAGGGAAATGGAAAAAAAAAAAATCCCAAGCATTTTGACAAAGCTAGAAAGCCAGAAGAAATACCAGCACTGTGACAATAAGAGGAAGTGTTAGATTTATGCATTGTGAAATAAATCTGGAAAGTAAAAGAAACCATAATTAAGACCAAAGAGAAAAGAGAGAAAAGGCAGCCATCACTGTTTAACAGATTGCTCAAACAAGCATTAGAAACAAAGAAAAGGGGAGAAAACAAAAATGAAGCCTCAAAAACATGAAAGATGTGACAGTGGCAGAAAAATAAAAAAATTGAGCTAGTGGCTCAAGACATAGAATATGATAAACTGTCACAAAAATGGAGCATGTTATTTGTAGAAAGGTAGATTTTCTCTTAAAACCCAGAATGTTTTCTAAATCATATTTTCTATATATTTATATTTGTATATTTACACATATTTTTTAAAAGATCTGCCTTGAATAGTCTGATAGGTGAATTATCTGGAGCAGGTCTCAAATTTTTATGGAACTCACTATTTTAGGAAGAATTCCTTCTTTCTTGTTTACTGTGTCACCACAGACAAGTTCTGATTCTGGAAGAGGTTCTGCTGGTGAGAAGTATCCACTGGTTTGTACACCTTTTGTAAGGAGTGGTCCTTTTTTAATATTTTGGTTGTTGGCTGTAGAAAATACAAACTAATTAAATTGTGGTTTTGCTCAAAAATATCCTGCTATATACCTATGCCTCATTTTTCATGATTTGCAGCAAACATAAAAGACTGTGTTGAAGTCAATGGAAGTGGAAAGTATTGACAAGTTTCACACAGTTGTTTTAAGCATCCGTAAAAGCTAATTATAAAGAAAAATTATAAAAAAATGCATGCAAAAATTCTACTGGAAAAAAGAATTAAAAAGCCACCTTAAAGCTACTTATAGTGTCATTACAGTATATTGAGTATTTGTTGAAAATCCCCACAAAATATGTCACTCATTTTACTGCTTGTCACAGAAGCAAACTCATAAAATTAAAATTCAATTATTTGCATCTTTGAAACATGTACACTTATCTCTAAGGAATAACATTTTAAAAAATCTGAACCTAAAATGGGATAATAGTAGAGCATCTATAATAAAATGAGCAGTAGACAAACTGTTTGAAATACTGGCATTAAATATTTAAAACAGTCTCATAAATTTCTGCTGCTTCTGACAAATAGATTCTACTGATTCAGTGATAATAGCCCAAGTACACACATATTTATGTGGGTAGCATAAGGTTTGAGGCTGTCTTTTCACACCAGAAGAAATCACAGTACTGATAATTTTAGAAGATTATGTTCAGGGACATATGCACCCTTTGAGGGAAAAAGGAGTGCAGCTCATATGACAGACAGTAAACTTGAATCAGTAAGAAATAAATAAAACAGATCACCAAAATATTCATAGCAGTGCAAATACATATTTTTAAAGCTTCTGTAATTTATTGTCAAGTGGACATTACCTACGATCTATCAGAGATTTTATTAACAACCTTCCCCTCCTCCTTTAGCCAAGAACATCTGATATGAAAGGAGTTAAGTCCCCTTTTTGGTAAAGTTCTATGTTTTGGTTCTGCTGCAGTTATAGAACAGTCAACAATCCATGTGCCCTCCTTTGTAACCAGTGTTGTGATGACAAGCAGCACCAGAGTGAAATTCCAAGTGTCACGAAAGGTATAACCCAGCTGAGTCATTTCAAAGTGGTGCCAATAATTTTTCTTTACTGCTTTATACAAGTTACCTCTTTTTCTTTGTACAATATCCATGTCTTTTCTTGGTGATAGCTTCAACATACGATTAGCATATATATTTTTTGCTTCAAGTTCTCTTTCTTTCTCCTGTGAATGAAAGAGGTAGGTATAACAATGAGTTACTAATATTTCATTTACTAGCCATTAGCAAAGCTGTAAATTAAATTAAAAATACATATTGTAAATAGAAACAGAGTAATCAATTGTTTCACCCAATGTTTTAAGGAAAACAATCACATTCCTAACCTTGTTTATGCTATAAGAAAGCAGATAGAACTTTCTCCCAAAAGAAACTCATTAGCAAAATATTAGGGGAAAAAAGCAGCTCTGCAGTGAAAATAAAAGTAAACAGCAATGCTTCCATAAACACAAACAAGACTTACAATATATATATAGATTGCACAACTAAATTTTAAGTATTGTAAAGAGTTAAACACTTCAATGCAAGCAATACTTGTCACAGGGCACATCACTATCAGGGAGTGGAGGCCCATTGTATCATAGAGGTAGAGGCAAACTCTTCTTTTAGCACATTTATTGAATAAAATGCAGAAATGAGCAGTGACATCATCTGACAATGAAAATATTTTCAAACCATCAAATTCTCCACTAACAAACCAGGCTTAAAATACTTACTCTAAACAAGTAAGTTTTAGAGCTACTAACACTATTACTTGCTCAATAGCTAGGAAGGTGGTGAACTGGTGCATCTCCAACATGTTTGAGACTTGGAGTTTCAAGGAAATTCTCCCAGAAACTAAGCACTTTAGCTCAAGTCTTACTTTTTTTTAAATTTCTTTTCCCTAAAGATAAACTGACTAGGTAGAATATAACAATATTTTAAGTACTTTAATTGAGAATTTGGGCAACAATGGCAGGGGGGGATGCAAATAAACCTTTGCACAAATTTAGCAACACATGAGGACATAAAAAATACATGAAAATAATCTTTACACAAACCTACTGCAATGCAAGTACATTACTAACATAAAGTACTGTTTATGCCTGCAGATTTAATTTTGAATTCAAGGGTTCAAAACCCAATTTTCCAGTAGATTTTGTGGTTTAATCTCAGTGCTTGGTTATGTACTTGATCTTACTTTTCTTAACCAGTGCTAACAATAATGAAGTGCTAACAATGTAGAACCATTCCTGCTATAAACACTGGAGGGTCAGAGCACAGAACATTTCGATTTAAGGCAGGAAAAGAACTCACACGTGGTACATAATTAAGTACACATCAGAGACTGCAGGTACTGCTAAACTATTCAAACCCGATTGCAGATACTTCCAAAGATAAAATGCCAGAACATGGTTAGCAACTTCTATTCCTTCCACATTTTACCTTCAGCTTCTGATTTAGCTGATGAAGCTCTTCTTGGAGAACTCTGTTTTCTTCTTGAGCCTCATATAGCTTTTTTTTCTTTGAATGTAACTCTCGTTGAAAACTGCTACCACTTAACTCAAGATTTCTTTCCAGATCCTTCAATTAAAACAAAATACTATTTTTTAATAACCAAAGTACTTTCTATAGTCAAATTACTTAAACAAAATTACAGTGAACCAGTGTCTTGGATTTAAACATCAGTTCCACCACTTCTGTAACACTGAATACATTTAAACCCTTAATCCTAACTTTCAGGGGGCAGACAGAGCACCTGTAGATGCTGCAGCTCATCCTTCTGAGCATTGAGAGGTGATTTGAGGACTTAATGGGAACTCACACTACTTTCTGCCAGGCTCTTGCCACAGTGGACCTCCACGTCTGTAAGACAAATCTCCAACTGATGAGTTAGAGACAGAATTCCTCCCTCAGAGTGTAGGGTTAGAAGGAAGAAGACAAGAAAGAATTTTTAAACTTTTAACCAGAAACTAGCCTGTGATTATGATTGCATTTACATACCTTTGTCTTACAACAGATATTTTAAGTGAACTGTGTTGATGAAAGAAGGAAAAAAAAGTACGAGAAAATCCCTTACTTTTTAAAGCATGATTTATTTTAACATGATCTAGTACTAAAAATGCTGAAATACCTGATCATAAAACTACAGATAACAGATGGTAACACTACAGGGTGAGGTGGTTTGGCTAACTCAGTGGTTTATATCTTTGTACTTTGGGATTTATTTTATGAAAGGTTAGTTTCCAGCTTAATCCTTTGGATTTTCAGATCTATTATCTATATAATGTAATTTAGTTTTAATTACTAATATAGACAGCAAACTTTAACATAATTTTAATGACCAAGACAATTTCAGCTAAAAATAGGATAAAATTTACGTACTATGTATAAAAATATCTAGTACAAAAACAGTACAACTACCAACAGATGTAATACTGTTAACATAATTTTTAAGTAAGAAGAGTTTATAGACACATTTACAGTGTAGACACACTTAGACATGTTTAAAAAACATAAACATTTTGGCTGGACAAAATCAAAAAAATATATTGGACAAATTTCTTAAAATGTACATCCATAAAATGTTTTAAAGATCATTTCAGTATTTAAAAAATGCTCTAAGTTTGTCCAGCTGAGCTCTTGGGTGTGCAGAATAGTGGACAATCAAACACTGCATGAATGCTGTTCAAAAATTGAAAAAGAATTACTATATAGGGGGTTTTTTTTAGAATTTTAGTGTACAGTTCCCTAAATACCCAGAAATTTTTAACAAATGCTTCCCCTCCAAGAGGATAAATTAGATTGCTTAGAGTTGTATTATATCTGCATGCACTTCTGAAATATTATTATTAGTTATACAAACACTTAAAAGCACAAGGCTATATTCTGAGAAAATACACTTAATTTGTAAACAGAAATTTGAGTGCACAACTACCAAGTATGTAACTACATAATCACCTTGGAAATAATCACCTTGACTCTACTTCTGTGTAAAACCAAGAAATACTGATTTTCTGTTTGCTCCATGATTGAGAAAAATTACAATTCATTATGGTAAGAAATACCTGAAATTTCTTACAAAAAGAAAGTCATCTCACCTTAACTCTTTTTTCCCTGTCCTCCAGCCTGCTCTCTGCATTGGCTAGTTTCTTTGCCAGGTCGTCTCTTTCGGCAAGGTGCTTATCTGCAGACAGCTTTTTCAGTTTCTGCAGGACAGTTTTTGTTCTGTACAGTTCATCTTCCGAATCTTTCAACCGCCTCTCAGTTGCACGTTCTCTCTCCTGAGATTTTCGTAGGCGCTCCCTTAATATTCTAATCTCATTGTTGTGCCGAGCAAGGAGCTGAGAGATTTCGTTTTCCGTATCTTCGAACTTATTCAGGGCTTTCTCCTGCCTGTGCTGAAGCCTCTTCAGTGCCCTGTTTTCCTTCTGCAGCTCATCCAGTTTGATGTGGAGTTCAGTCAGTTCATTTCGGAGCTCATTGATTTTCAGCAGCCTCGCAGAAAGAACTCTTTTTGTAACAAGATCTATATCTTTTGCAGGAGAATCCCTAGTGAGGCTCTGAGAACGGAAACCCCACCGTGTCCCTCTCTTGCTTGGTGCATATTTGGAATCCAATTTCTTTGTGGCTAAGAGAGAAAAAAATAAAAAGTATGTTTACTATTAGACAAGGCAGTTTGTCTACTCAGGTATCATTCTTGGAATCAAGCTCTGCCTAAAACAATTTTTCAATACTTAGCAGAGATGGCAGATTTCAAACCAGACAATAAAAGGCATATACATGATAGACCTACGTTCCTTTTGATAGCCAAAAAATGGAGATCTATGTCTGTGATCTACTGTAAGAGGTAATATTTGCAGCCATTAATACAGGACCATTGTAAAGTAATCATCTGCAAATCATATCAGAGACAACAATCATATTTTGATATTGTTTATTAAAACGGTTTAGAAATATGATACTATAATGCATACGAAATTATCAAATGCTTTAAAACGGCAACAATTAGCTAATCACTAGCTAGTTATGTATTATGCAAGATGTAATTCTCCCAGACAAATGCAGTAGTATTTTCAAATCCAGCTGCCGTGCTTACAGACAAAACAGCAGATTTCAAAGGCTCAATGCAAAAAGCCTCCAAAGCAAAATTACAAATCCCGTGAAAATTCAGTTCTCTTTGAATAATTTATTCTTGTATCACAAGTTATTTTCCACACAGTATTCTCATTTGATTACTTGTATGCACTGCTCGCATTCCTATTTGGTATTATTATTTTATTTCCATCCCCATAGATAAAAGCTGAACATTTTGTTTCTATCTTATCTGTCTCTCAAGCCACACTCAAAAAATAAAGCATATAATCCACCAAAAATATCTCTTAAAACAACTGAATTAATAGAGATAATTCATACAAGCTTAATTCATTAAGGTACCTCAGTGTTTGAAAGAAATACACTGAGCAGCAGTTTATAATTCCAGCTGGAAAGCTGGGATACAGCAATAGTGCAGTTACCTATACACAGACAGTGAGTGTGTGTGACAGTAAATTCTTCCTCCCCTTTGGCACTCAGTATGTTTCTCTAGAGAATACTTTTCAGCAAAAATAACAGCTTAAAAATATACTTTTATAATTTCCTATAAAAATTTTGCACAAATGCTCATTCATTTTCTGCTTGATGCTCATTTTTTCCACAGCTTGGGCAAACAAAAGAAGGTGTGTTTTTTTCCTTTACAAAGAACACTTATGTCATACTCAGGTGTGAAAAGATTATCTAATACATGCACTGCGGGAATGATGCCACTCCTACCACCAACTAAGGGAATTCCCATTTACCATAGACTTCCAGCTCCTTCAAGAATTTCTCCATACTCAGGACAAATTTACCATGACTGCACTTTTGATCATATAGTTAATTTGGGGCATAGTGTCTTTCAAGACAACATAACATGACATTCACAATACCTTAATGTAATAATTATGTTCAATTCTGGCTATGTAATCAAAGAACTGGTCATTCATTTGCCCCCTTTAAATTAAATAGCACAGAGGAACTGCAGTTTTTGTTTTCTAGCAGCTAACCCATGACCACTATGGAGAAGATGCCACTTTGGAACACAGAGAAGCTCAGCAAAACACCAGCTGCACCAGGACACTCACACAGGCGAGGATCTGACGAGATCCACTCCCTGGGCAAATTCAAGACCTTCTGGCACAATCTAGATCATAACATTGACCAAATGATTCATGCAGTATCAAGCACTTACAAATGAACTGGGACACTTGCTCAAGTAAGGCAGGACATGCTACGACTTCACCAGAAAATGCACACAGTTATTTAGAACAAGCTGTCAAAGCATGGTAGAAAGCCTTCATATCCCTATTTCAGCCCAGGACCTGTATAAGCATTCTCTTCTTTTTTGCAGGGATGTTCACCTCAATCAAGAAAGCAGCTTATGTCTGTGAGGGAGCTCAAAGTGGAGCTATGTCACCTCAAACTGGAAATATTTTACCCTCAGGGAAGGAACAGGAAAAGGTTTCTTTTGAATTTCTACCTGAACTTAACTGTCGCCAAACCCATTTTCTCTCTTGCCACATTGCTGGTCTTCATTTGTTTGTTGAAAGTCACAGTATTACTCTGTAAAGCTCAGTCAACTAGACTTCCACAAGACAGATATCTTTAGGTTATCTCGTCAGGGGAGCTCTAATAATTGTCTCTCTTTTACAGACTGCATAGTAAGGACTTCTCTTGGGTCCTTGGCCTCGAGTTTTTGGTCAAAAAGAAAAAGCAAACATCAGCATGATTCAACAAAAGGCCACGTTCTCTTGTTAAGAAAAATAAGAAGAATTCTGAAAATCACCAACACCCCCTCCTTATGCAGGAACAGATCATTTTCAGTTTACAACAGAGCACTTACTGTCTACCTGCCATTTGTAGTGTTATTCACATGAACCTTACTTGTAGATCCTCATAACGCTAGTTTTCCACTTTTGTTTCAGTTTTCAAAGGTAATTGACTCTTTGGAGCAGTTACAAAGCAGCAATTTCTGCTATCTACCTACCTTGGTAGTGCACAAGGCTGTTTGAAGCCTGTGTTTTGTGATGTCTCTTTTCTTGGCTTGTAGATGGAGAGCTTAGTGCTGGAGACTGGCTGGATGAATGAGATGCATTACCTTCATCTGAATAATAGGAGTCACTATTTTTATCCTCATCTGATTTCCTCTCGTGTTCAGAATCTGGGCTCCTTACTCTTTCTCCCATTTTTCAGATTTTACAGCTTTCCAGATTTTTCTCAAAGACTGTTCATTTTGGCAAAAGGATATTTCAGTTGCCACAACAGGAGCAGCTGGATTATTTCCTTGGGTTTATCATCTTCATCTCCAAAGCATGAGATCTTTGCAGTTCAGTTCAGTAAGCAGTAGTTATCCTTCAGAATGCATTTCTCTGTAACAATTTAGAGAGAGAAAAAAACAGTGAGAACAGTGTTCCGCTGTTAAGAAAGAAAGGTGAAAAACCTGTAAAATTATTCAGGATTCTTACAACCTTGTTACCTTAAGATATATATTCCATGAGACAAACATCAGTCTCGGAATGCTACTATTATTTTCAGAAGACTGAGGCTCTTCAATCCCAAAAGAGAAATCAGATAATTAACACAGAATTCAGAAAATTAAATCCAGAATAAGAATAAGAAACTACTCCCAGGCTAGAGAGGGGAAAAGAAGCATTTGGGAAACAAAATAGAACACAAGCAAAAGTTTGACACTATTCAGGAAACTAATTTAGACATGTTTTAAAACTTCCAAACCAAATGAATTAACAACTTATCCATGCAACTAGAATTGAGATATTGGTAGAATTTGACTAAATCCTCTATTTCACAATTTCTGACAGTCCAATGATGTTAAATAATGGGCTTGAAAATAATTGTCCCATTTATCTGGAGTACCTTCTGTCCCTAACCACTAATGAGACTGTACCTATATACCACAATCTTCACCCTGGAAAGTACTCTCATATCCTTCAAAATCTAGTGCTTCATGTCTTTAAGAACTGACCAGAGCACACATGTTTTATATTATAGATATATTTTTATACCTGATAAGAGAGACTACACTGCTGGTACATGGTAAACAGTACACCTGCAGCAGGTATAAAATGAGAATGGCCCCTCCTGCAGCCTATCTTTTGACATGAACTGGAAAAATCCCATAATCTCAAGGGGAAATAACTTCATTTTTTATTTTTGGAGACACTTCCTGAGAATATAATGGAGTAAATATGTTAAAAATTTTCCTCACCTTCTCAGTCAAAAGAATTCTCTCAACAGTTTAAGAAGTGTTTTACTGACTACGCTCAGCTTCCCAGGTCTTTTTTCTCTCTCAACACTCTTCACAGCTCTCAAGCTTATTTCTCTATCTCTCTTCAACCCAACATCAAGCCCCTAATGGGTGAATAAATAGGCCTTGCACCAGAGCTCATCAGTTCTACCTGTTGAATGACATAAGCTCCTAGCTCATTTCTAAATGACAAAGCAAATTACACACAAAAAAACTGAGCAGCTTTCAATCAAAACTGCTCTACGCTGCAGGACATTCAACACACCTGTAAATGAGCTGTAAATTTTTCACTGTATTATTTCCCAATAAAATAAACTTTGCCTGCTTCTCAGCCTTCACTGCCTATACATGCAGAATTGCATAGTCAAGCAGAACAGAAATGTCAGCTGCCAAGACTGTTTTTGTTACAAATTCCAGCTTTCTGGCACACTTCACTATTAGCACAACTCTATCTCAAGTGACTGGAATGAATCCATTTGCCCTCATAATCTATACAGAAAGAATTAGAGGAATAAATATCCCATCAGGTTGCTAAACTGGGAAGCTGCTGGGAAATTAATACCGAATTACCTGGAAAAGAGTATTTTTCTTTACTCAGGGAGTAACTTTTCAAAATAATGATTTGTAGGCATCTAAATATTCTCAAAGTGGTCTAAATAATAATGATGACATGCCTAAAACTTATATAAAAGTATTCTGATGAAAACTAAAATTTCACTGCAAAGCCCAGAAAAAAGACAAGCTACGCTTATGATCAACTGTTCTAGAGACTGCTAAACACATGCTTGGAAGGTATCAGCTGTTGTGAACATCTGAATGATCTGTACTGACTGTTCTTTTTCCTTCTGAAATAATGGAATTAATAAAGATATTTCAAAAGTATAGACCTAACCATAACTGTATTATCTTGTCTGAGTTTAAGTGTAATGAAGACCCCCATGCATTTACATGAGTGCAAAACTAAGATCATGTAAGAACATCAGAACATATAAAGGTGCTGTCCTACTCCCAAACAGCTCCACTCCTAAGCCCTGGCCCCACAAACACCTGTGCAGAATATATGTTATTTTGCTCCTTGAAGAGCAAACTAATAACAAACTAAAACACAGGCAGAGTTTTGGGGATAACATGTTCTCTAGAGCATGCACAGACAAGAGTACATCAGGTTGGTCTTGTCTGTCTCCACAGGACAGAATTTCAGGGAATACAAAAAAATATAAAATAATATATTTATATTAAAGTACTAATATGAGATATAAAAATAGTACTCTGGAGGGCTGTAACACAGATCTCATATTATTACAGTCACTCTGATGAAAAAAACCATTAAAACCAGTAGTTGCTTTTGTAACCCACATGAAGTGAGGCGGTGTCATGGAAGCCACAGGCTTTCTTTCCAGCTAACAACATGGGCCACAAAACTTGCCAGACTTTGTCTGAACTCATCCTGGGTGCCTGGAGCTTTGCTAAAGCTTATTTAGCCGCAACAAATTCAAGTTAACAACCAGGGAACTTATCTAATTTGTTGTAGCTTTTTGCTTAGCTTTGTATTCATTTATGTTTTAAAGTAATGGACAGCAATAACCAGTAGTTATTCTGTGAAGAGGGAACCATCTGTGATCTAGAACCTTTGCAAAAATGCATCATAGGGGGGATACAAGCATGAGGTGACTGCAGGGGCCTGAAAGTGTCAACACAGTACAGTGCTGGGGCCCTAAGCTGTAACATTTCACCTGTGCTTAATTCTGTGGGAGGCAGCCTTGGGAGTTGGATAAAACCCAGCAACACAGAGGACAAAGAATGAGTACTCAACATATGTAAAACACACTATGTGGAGTAAATTCAGATGTAATGTGGAACTGTGAATCAATGATTAGAATAGAACAGAACAGAATAAAGAGCAAGGCGTCGATAAGTGTGTTATCAACCATGTAAAAATGATCACAAATGGACACAAGGCAAGGAGGAAGAAACCATTAGCATCCTCCTCCTGCCAGGGAATGTTGATGACTTACTGTAAAGACATCCCCCTCCCAGCTGAATCCAGTCAAGTCCCAGAGGATGAGTGAGTGGGCAAAGATAACATCAGAGGGTTTGGTACTAGAGTTTGTGTCTGTATCACTGTAACCACATGTGGCTTGAACTGTGTTAGTATCTGGACTAATACCAAATCTTTGATTAGACTGTTAAGATTTTAATTAGACCAATGATCATTTGTTGGCTCTGCATCTGTGTTCCTTGTTTTGCTTATAACTGCTGAATAAAACAAACTGGCAGGAATTCAAGCAACCTAGTCTCTTACTTGGACACAAGACTGTTCCATGGCCACAGTGGCACATGTGGCATCCAGAGGAGTCCCAGACTTCTGGAGGGCATACATCTCTGTTAGAAGCACCACTAAATCCAGAGGTGTTAACCTAGTCCTCTGTGCAGGCAGGGATTACTCTGTGAGGCAAGTACCTTCAACAGTGTAGATACAGCACAGACACAAATTTTGTCTGCCTTCAGGACACAGAAGGATAAAAAGAAATCATCACGCACAGACCTTTTCTTGTTTGAAAACAAATGGGATGGCATTTAGGGAAGGCATAAATTCCTATAGTTCAATCATCAAGATGTCTAATTATATATATATAAAACAAGAACACTCACTTTCACGTACCAACTTAAAGTGGATCAGTTATTTTACAGTCCCGCAAGAGTCCACTAAAGAGGCAATAATCGTTTTGAAGAATGCTTTTCATAACTCACTGTATTTAAAACAAACAAATTGTAAGAACTCGAGGATTAGAATTATCCATCACTTTTGTACTGGATATTTCCCACTTTTAAGAATATTTTGCTATATTAAGTATCATTTTGACAAACAGCAATATAAATGAACAGAAATTTCTGATGTATTCTGGAAGTACTCAGAAAAGCAATGCACTGAAAACAAATTGAAAAAGGTGAACAAATGAAAGCTCCCTTGAGAATTGCCAAAAACATTTTTTGAATCTTCAAATGGTTTTCAGTTTTATAAACTGGTAATATTATCATATTTTCCATACAAAACAAGAAACCTTAGTCTGTCAAGTCTTGCCAATTAATTTTTCCATCAGTTTATAATATAATTCCATTAACAAAAGAAGGTACAGTTTGTCTTGAGAACAAAAGAATCACTAGGACATTTGAGTTTTACTTCAGTGAGCCTAAGGACTGCCTAATTAAGAAATGTTTTTGTTACCTGATTTTTCAATTGTTACCAACTAGTTTGAGCTGATTATCAAGTAAGTTCAACTTGTGTGAATCCACAAAGATATTGATTTTTCCACTTGTACATGTAATAATTTTACGAGGAATGAAACACTGTAGGTTAGCAGTGGGTTTACTGAGATCCACCACCACCACCAAAACCCCAGTCCTCTCTCCACAAGACTCCATGCAGGCTTTTAGAAGCCTAAGGAATCGAGATCAGGTCAGTATAGAACGGCTGAAGTAAATATGGACTTACACAAACTTTAGAGAGAGTTTTGTTTCCAGAATTTCGTACTCCTTTCACTTCAGTGACTTCTATCTATTGCTATTATTTCCATATTTTGTATTGAAAACATGTTCATTATTACAAAAAACAGTCGAGCACCAGGTCACTGCAAAGGACATAGACAGAATAGAGAACACAAAACAACTGCAATGGTGACAGGAGATTCCCTATTACTCCTAAGTAAATCACAGAAACAGAAACAGAACCATTGGACTACAGGTATTAAGCAACAGATAGAAAGGAAAACCACTCAGTAATTCTTCTCTCACAGCACACCCAGAGCTTAGTTCTGTAATGCAAGACTCATAAAATGTTTTATGACCTTTTCAGTATTAACACCCTTCCAAGACCAGGGGACGCCCGGTGCTTTCACTGGTCTCCGAACGACACTTCCCGAGTACAAACACTGACCTCTAACGGCCTCCTCAGTTCTTCCACCTGTTCCGAGAGAGGGACAATGCAAGAAAGGCGGCTTCAGGCAAGCACAAAAGCATCAATCCAAGTTATTGAAGTGCTGAACTTAAGAGCAAAGAAAAACCTCAAAAGAAATTAGTCTCCCTCCTCTTCCTCCATCCATCTTTTTGATATCCAAATGCTGTATTTTTTCCAGAAGAGAGAGAAGCAAAATAATTTACTGTATCACATGCAAATATACTCAGTGATCAGACTTTAGTGAAGTATTTTATTAGGGAAGTTTTCTGCTGCTGTTGACTTAACTATGCATTTCTTCTAGGTTTACCAGCTTCTCACAGACTCACAGAATCAATGAGGTTGGAAAAGGCCTCTGAGATCATTGAGTCCAACCCATGATCAAACACTACCGTGTCAACTAGACCATGGCACTGAGTGCCTTGTCCAGTCTTTCCTTAAATATCTCCAGGGACGGTGAGTCCACCACTTCCCTGGGCAGCCCATTGCAATGTCTTATCACCCCTTCTGTGAAGAATTTCTGCGTAATGTCCAACCTAAACCTCCCCTGGTGCGTCTTAAGACTATGTCCTCTTGTCCTGCATTTTGGTGAATTAAAATGCAATATTTAAAAGCCAATGTTATGTCTACCTGACTCTGTGACAGTAATACACAGTGTTACTTTCATCGGCTCTCAAAATGAAAAAGCTGCTCTAAGGTCCAGGTCAGGGATGAGGAAACATCAAACAGGGAATGTTCAGGCCAGTCCTATAACCAGGAAAAGAGATTATGTTTCTAAATCAGACTCCACCACGGAGGCCCACGCCGTGGCTCATATTCCCACCAATATCCCAGTATGTGCAGACTTACCTAGTTCAGCTTAGCCATCCCTGGGAGCAGCTCTCCAGTTCCCAAAGTGCAAGTGGGCAGCTTTCCTTCACTGAGCACAGAATACACCGAATGTTATTTTCAGTCAGCACTTCCTGACAACACATTTTAAGCGTAGTCACCGAATCGTACCCACACTAAATGACTTCGCAGGAAAGAGCCTGAATACTGGCGGCCCGAGACTTTTCGGAGGCCAAGCCCAGACCTAGGCCCGGGCCCGCTCCCAGCGCCCGCAGCCCCCAGGAAAACAACCTCCCCCCGCCGCGGTCCAGTTTCCCCCGGACGCTCCCTTCGCCCCTCGATGTCCCCTCCGCCCCTCGGTGTCCCCGCCACCCCCGTCCCGGCCCTTCCGACGGTACCTGCCCTGCCCGGCCCGGCCCCGCCCGCCCGGCGAACGCGCCGGCGGTTGCCGCGTTACGCTCGGAGGGGCCGCGCGGCGGCCATTGACAGCGGCTGCCCCGGCAACGGGCCGCGGAGGGGACGGGCCCTCGGCGCCAGCCATTGGCTGTTCGCCCTGCCAGCTCGGGGCAGCTGCTCTTCCCATTGGTGAAGAGCCGCACACCGGCCGCTGATTGGCTGAGGTGCTGCAGGGTGGGGGGTGCCGTGCGGGGCTCAGGTCGCGCTGCCGCTCCGCGCGGCTCCGACCGCGCCGGCAGGGGGCGCTGCGGGCCCGGCTGGCGCGGCGCCGGGGGAGACCTGGCGGGGGCGGCGGGGCCGCGGCCTTACCCTGAGTCTGCCCTGCCCTGCCCTGCTCTGCCCTCCCTGAGTCTCTCCTGCCCTCCCTGAGTCTCTGACCTGTCCCGCCGTCACCGTCTTGGTTCTGTCGGGCCGCATGTGTGACATCGCAGGACAGCAGCCCAGGGAAAAGGACCGGGGGGCACTGGTTGACAGCGGCTGAACATGAGCCAGCGGTGTGCCCAGGTGGCCAAGAAGGCCAATGACATCCTGGCCTGTATCACGAACAGTGTGGCCAGCAGGACCAGGGCAGCGATTCTTCCCCTATACTCAGCACTGCTGAGTCTGCACCTCCAGTGCTGTATCAGTTCTGGGCTCCTCAGTTCAGGAAGGACCTTGAGGTGCTGGACTGTGTCCAGAGATGGGTAACAAAGCTGATGAAGGATCTGGAGCTCATGTCCTGTAAGAAGCAGCTAAGGGAGCTGAGGTTGTTCAGCCTGTGGAAAAGGAGGCTCAGGAGTGACCTTGTTGCTCTCTACAACTACCTGAAAGGAGGTTGTAGCCAAGTGGGCGTCAGTCTTTTCTCCCAGGCAACAGGCCACTGGATGACAGGGCAGCCTCAAGCTGCACCAGGGGAGGTTAACGTTTGACATTAGGAGGAATTTCACACAGAAAAGGTGATTAGGTTGGAATGGGCTACCCAGTGAGGTGGTGGAGTCGCCATCCCTGGAGGCGTTTAAGGAAAGACTGGACATGGCATTTAGTGCCACGGTCTAGTTGACATGGTGGTGTTCGGTCCTATCGGTCCTAGGCTGGACTCAATGATCTCAGAGGTCTTTTCCAACTGGAATGAATCTGTGATTCTGTTCAGGGAGCTGCCAGGGAGCATGGGAGTGAACGAGCAGTCTACCACAATGCTGGCACCCATTGCACCTCCTCACAACCCCTCCGGGCAGTGGGACTGAGGGAAGCCTTTGGGGGGACTCGGGCACATGCCGGCATTGCCGTCTTAAACAGGTCTTAAAGCTTTAGGTCAGAGCAGCACCTGGGGGTAACGACTGGTTAGGGATGAGAGCAAAAGCAGAGAAAGTGCTCTCTGCTGAAATGTTTTTCTAGGATAGGAGTTAAAGAAATAGCCAGTATGACCAATATGTGACAGGTTTTATGCATATGTACATATATATCTTTCTGTGTGCATGGTGTAATTTAAAAGCAAAACTCCCCCAATCTAGCAGGAAAAAATGAAAGAAGAACACTAGCAGATTTTAAAATACCTAGAACTTGAAGCAAAATGTATTGTACTGACAAAAGGATAAAAGTACTGCCTAAAGTCATCAAATACACTTGAATTCAAAGGCAGGCCCAATTTAATGAGGCTGTTGTGGTTTATTCCACAAAGAAGTAAGAGAGCTTCTAAACCTTGGCTTTTATTACTCCAAATTAATGTTGTATTTTTTTTTTACCCTAATGCTAATCTTTGTTAATAAATGTGGTTAAACAAACTTCTTTCTAGAGAGAGGAAGGCAAAGGAAATAGCAGATCTTGCTTGCATCACTGGCTGATGGAATATGTTATGATGGCACAGTGATGGAAGTGACACAAGAATTTGGGTGGAGTAGGATAAAGCAGAACATTTGGTACGAAAATTATAACCTGCCTGCATGGGAAGACATAAATAGGACATTCTTGTGAAGATTTGCCTTTGACAAAACTGAGTTTCTACAGTTCTGGATGTTCAAAATTAATTCTCATTGACCATTAAATAAAAACAATAAAATGGAGGGAACAGGAAAAGTACCAGTTTTTTTTTTACCATGGCAATATTTTCAGGCAAAACCCTCCACTTTCTTCACAATAAAAATAAGGAAATATGTGAGAAATTAGAGTTTTAATGCACTGGAAATTAAAATACTGCCATCCCCTCCTCCCCAACCATAAATTTTAGAAGGAAAAATTAAAAAAATAATGCTTGTGAAATAATTGAGAGATTCTCAAAAATTATGTGCATTGTGTGCAAGAACTCTAAGTATTCTTAATTAAATTATTTGAAAATGTGATTTAGTGAGTAGGCTAGAATGTAATCATAAACATGTCAGCATAAACTCCTCTGAAAAAAGAGGAGATAGACACTGGTATTTCAAAAGCAATAAAGTACCTGTGAGGCATAACCTGACATGGATTCTCCCAAGCTGAATGGAGCTCTTAATTTTTTGATCCTAAAATCCAAGAAAACAGGCTTGAAGCATGCAAAAAACCCAAAACCCTGTCTGTGAATTTCCTAATTTTGATTGTCTCCCTAATTGCACTGAATATTTTGCTGTACGTGCCTTAATATTATGAAATTGCTTTAAATAAACAAAAACTCATGTGGCTCATTTTTAAAATTCATCCTTCTGTGGCTTTGCGTAGCTCACCTTTGTGGTAAACAGTTAAACCATATAATTCATCACAGCAACACTGTGATGCAGAGAATCATTGATGTCCTTCAAAAAGATCCAGGGAATGACAAAGACAGAATAATTTTATTGCTTGCAACTGGAGGAAATGTACTGCTTGCATCTGGCAGCAAGCCAGGCCAGAATCTGAAATGCTGTTGCTGCTGTAAATAGGATGAAAAGGATTCATAATCCATCTCTATGTCCACCATAGCTAGGAAAATTGTAAGCAGAAAAAAGCAATTAAAAAACCAACCAGAGAAAGCATTAAAAGACATGTAAGGGCCTTTTTTTTGTGCTGATAATTTATAGGTTAATTGTCATGACTAACCATTTGGGGCTTGGTTAGTAACTGACTAATGATTAGTTTCTGAATGTAAGTAACACAGGTATTGAGTTCAGATAGTGTGTATGTGTAATATAGGTACTGAATACAGGTATTGAGTCATTCTGAAAACAGGCCTCTTGTTCAGAACAAATGGCATCTTATCAGACTTCTCCATCAAATGCTCCGTTAAGAATAATGCCAACAGATTTAATCAGCTGCTGAGCTGGAATACATTCAGATACTGCAAAAGGTTGGCATAGGGATTAACTGATGGAAGTTTGTTAATCTAAAACCTACAAATAATGTATTTTAGATATTGTCCTAACAACCTAACAGTTGATACAGTGCAGATAAATGATGATGTGGTATTTCAGATTCCCTTGGACAGGACAAACATATGAATCACCTGAGCAAGAAATAAAGTTTTGCAATTTTCTTCTGTCTGTGTAAAGCAAGTCTGATGTCTTAAGTGATTGCTTGGACGGGAAGGTCGTTGAAACAGAGTATGTAATTCAAAAGCTGGAGGGGGAAGTAGAAGGCTCGAAAAGAATATCAGCCTTGGAGCTTAACTGAGGGGAGGGATGTTTTAGAAAGAGGGGTGGAAGCCTTCAAAAACTAAATCAGGTCACAGTGTCACACAGATTGATACTCCCAGAGGTACCAACAGGGATAAAGGCCCCGGGCTTATTCAGAGTAGTGGAACCCACGCTCATTTAATTGTCATACATAAATATCGGCGAGGAATCCCTGATGCATAGAGAAAATGCTATTGATTTCCACTGCACCACAGCAATGGCTGTAGCATATGGGGCAGGATCTGTTACAATGAGTTTATCTAATGTGATGGATACAACAGATTCCCTGAATTGCCAGAACAAAGATGATCAAATTTGGAAGGGGAAAACCTTCATGGTATTGCTTTCAATACCACAACTTCTTGAAGAAGTGGTGACTTAAAGTATGCACGGAAATATAAATGAGGGAGCCAAAGTGACATACTCCTTGCTTTAAGCAGGAACACAGCATGGTGTGAAAATTCACCATGAGATTTAGGTTTAGACATTCAGTTTATGCAAAAGATGAAAGGCTGGTGAAAACTATCAGGTTGAGTATGAAGTACCAAAGAAGATCCCTTTTGGATCCTTGAGCCTTCACATTTTCTGCTGCTTTCCCTCAGAATAGGCTATATGATACTGCCTTGCACACTGGAACAAATGTATAAACTTAATATGTATCTCCCCGCATATATACCTAAGGTGGTATTTTGCATTTACACTTGCAGAAGAATCTTTGTTTAAAGTCAGTGAGTTTATACTAAGGAGATTTTGGCTCAAAGCAGTTCCACAGGTCTGGGTAGCCAGGAGTGCTAGTTCAGGTAGCTGCTCCCAGTAGCAAGGCAGATATTTAGAGAATAGAATCACAGCATCATTTAGGTTGAAAAAGATCTTTAAGATCATTGAGTCCACCCATAATTTGTTCCCACTCTCCACTGCTATAAAGATGGCCTACAAGGTCAGTAAGATCTCTCTATTTTAGAGCATGAGTATGGATGTAGTTATGATTCAGCTGAAGGTTTTTTCCTTAACAATATATTGTAATATTCTCCTGCATACAAGATACATCGTGTATGACCACACACCTCCCTTTGCTCTCAATTATCTGCAATCATATCATCAAAATATTTCAAATTCTAATACAAATAAAATTAAATGTCAGTCTGTTTTGATGTTATAAATATTCATGGTCTCCTTGTAATGTGCCAAAATAAGCTGTGATTTTGCTGGAGGCCAGCTACTTTTATTACTGTA